TCCCCCCAGAATGGCTGCAATGGCTATTATCATAAATCAGGTGGTCAGTCATTGGAGTTGGAATGTTGGTGTTATATAAAATCATGTAACCTTGGCATTTAGGGATTTGACAGGGTTTTTTTTTTTATATTATCAATAATTTGATCCAAGTGTGAGATTTTTTTAAATATATTTTTTGTTGACTTCTGAGAAGAAGGGAGAAGGAGAGAGATAAAAACATCAATGGTTAGAAAGAATCATTGATTGGCTGCTTCCTGCAAGTCCCCTCCTGGTGATTGAGCCGGAAACTCGGGCATGTGCCCTGACTGGGAATCGAACTGTGACCTCCTGGTTCAAGGTCGATGCTCAACCACTGAGCCACATGGCTGGGCCAAGTGTGAGATGTTTTTAAATGCTTTTTTTTTTTAATATATTTTATTGATTTTTTAATGTGCCCTGACTGGGAATCGAACTGTGACCTCCTGGTTCAAGGTCGATGCTCAACCACAGAGCCACACAGCTGGGCCAAGCGTGAGATGTTTTTATATGCTTTGTTTATAAATTTATAGTTGTCTGCTTTGAATTAGGTGAAATTAGTAGAAGAGTCAAATTAGATAAGTGGTTACTTGTGAATCATAGGTGGTTTCATACCACAAGTTTGTAAGTCAGCTGAAAAGGTAAGTTGCAAATATATAAAGTAGTAACCAAAAAATGAGCACACATAATTTTTGATAGTTGGTGGTTCTGTTTATGGCAATATGGTGGATTAGACAATCTAAAAATGTGCCAGCTAAAAAATACTTGAACATGCTGGATAAAATATAATAGTCATCCATGTGAGTGGTAGGTGAGTTCACAAAGATGTAAGGAACATTCCCAGAAGCCAAAAACAAAACAGAAATTAAACTTGGCCTTCTTTCACTTTGGGTTTGGGTTTAGATTTTATAGTCTTGGAATCTTCAAACTGAGAAATTAACACAAAATTCCTGGAGCAATTGGAAGAGGTAGATGCAAAATCTTTTATGGAGGGACCCATCCTCAACCCTGGCAGTAAAGGATTCCCATGGAAAATGCAAATGCCAGAAATGAACCCAAAATCAAAATTACAAAATCCATGAGGTAATCCACCCTAAGTGTGAAAAGCAAACACAATAAACAACAAGGTTAGACCCCTCTTTCTCCTGAATATTCAAATAATATAATCTCTCAGTGACTCTAAAACAAGTACATCTAAAATGACCGAAAATATAAAATGGAATTGAAAACACGAGAAACCAAATTTATTTAAATCATTTTATATCTGGTGTATTATATAACACTATATAGTGCACATGCACAATGAAGACAACTGACAGAAATATTGGTATTATACCTTGACCTTGAAATTAAAACGTTGACAAGAGGAAACTTTAGTTGTAGGAACATTACTTCTTTCAAGATATCAGTCAGATATTGCAAATCAATAGCAACTTGAAAAATGAATGTTCCTATAAAATATAACACTAACTTATGAGGGTGAGCTTTAACTTGAAATCATGACCAACACAGGTATTGCCGATGACAGCATGTCTTTATTCAGAAAAACTGAGACAGATGCCGTTTGTAAATTAAATGATGTCAAACAATCCAGAAGTTGCCAAGCAACACAACTCCTGAAAGCATAAATAGAATACTGCAAAACTATCTTATAATATGGCAGTTAAATTTAGCATGGTGAAAAACATGTCAAAGATATAGGGCTCTTTTTGCTTGCTCCATGATAAACTAAATTCTGGATAAAAATCACTAAACCTGAAATGTGTTAGGGGTTTAGTAAAGCAAGTGAGAAATAACTGCATTTCACTAGTAGAATGTGATATGATGGGAATCAAATGTTATCTACTTTAGATGTGATCTCAATTAATGAAAAATGACTGTTATATAAATTACCAAAGAAATTATTTTTTCCCCAAAGATGATGAACTTCATTAAAAATAACCCCCTCCCTTTTTTGTCACTGACATATAAACTTAAGGCCAACATTTTCCCATCCTTGCCAATTGTTTTTAATGTGGTGTTTTGAGGCCAATGGGCTGTCAGGTGTCAACTTTCTAAGGATCATATTCCATGTGGGAAAATGTGCAGTGTTCTTGTCGCAGAAAGGGAACTGCTTATTGCATGCATTATGTGGTCGCCTCAGGCTTCTTATGAACTTAATATCTCTTCACAAGCTGGTGGCTGACTCACTTTTTGCCAGAGTTCCTTTGTCAGAGTAGAATGAAACATAAAAGCTGTCAACTAAAGTTTGACACTAATAACTACATGTAGCACAGTCATAAATTCCTTTATTGTGTGGCTGTGGGTCTAATCTTTCATCTAAACTCTCTGTTCTTTGTACCTATTCATGGGAGTCTATTTTGCCTATTTTCATGCAGCCTACCATTTAATGTAATGAGTTCATAATGTATTTATTTGAAAAAAGTACTTGGGATTTCTTTTATTGTTTTCTTTGCCACTTTCCCTTCTCCTTTACCAATCTCCTACCCATTACAAGCCCGGATGGAGGAGAAATAGAAAGAGAGCATACACTATACCTATCTAAAGAAGAATGGTCACCCTGTCATGATTTCCACTTTTTTTTTTTTACCAGACACAACAAGTTATAATTTTTAATTGCATGTAGTTTAAAACTGAAAGCAGTAATAAAAATGCCAGATAAGCCCTAGCTGGTTTGGCTCAATGGATAGAGCATTGGCCTGCGGACTGAAGGGTCCCAGGTTTGACTCCAGTCAAGGGCACATGCCTGGGTTGCGGGCTTGATCCCCAGTGTGGTGTGTGTAGGAGTCAGCCAATCAATGATTCTCTCTCATCATTGATGTTTCTATCTCTCTCTCCCTTTCCCTTCTTCTCTGAAATCAATAAAAACAATAAAAAAAAATGCCAGATAATACAGCCTAGGAATGTTTAACCTTAGCCACTGAAAATGCCTGTGATGTTTTTGAATAAAAAGTTTAAAGATACTATATGAAATCAGAGGTAAAAATTTCATAGTTATTGCATTTGAATTAAGTACACAAGGTATCTAAGTTTATATTAGACATAAATACTTTTCACATGGCTTTAATGTTTAGAAATAACTATAAATATTACTAAAATGTTTATTTCTGAAACATGAAATTCAACTTTGATTTTCATTTGGGATTTTTCCATATGTGTGTCACTTGTGAAATTTTTTAAGTTAAAAAAAGTTAAGCAGTTACTAGATTAAAAAAAACATATTAAAGTATGACTTGCAGATTCTTCATATTTTAAGTTGACCCATAGGTTTACTTATGAAACTAAGAGAAACTATTGTAAATTAAGGAAAGTACTTAGTAATGAATATTAGTTATGCACATTTCCTTCCTTTCCAGAGAGTCAATAAGCATTCTGCAGAAACAAAATTGTTGCTTTTAGTTTTAAAATTTCTTTGGAGGAAAATTATTGTTCTATAAACAAATTTCAAGCTTAACCTTTTAATTTATTCTGTAGTCACATTTTATTAAGTGTCTAGTATATGTTATAGTTTTGATTGTGGTTAAGTAGAGACATGTTTTTGGACCAATATTTAGGATGCAACTATAAGTAGGTAAGTCTATCTGTTTAGAAATATATTAATTTATTATCTAATTAATTTGAGTCATTATTTAATTACTTTAAGTGTAATAGCTAATAGACATTTAATAAATATCTATTAAACACAAACTATAATGAAATTATTTAAACTTAGCCATCAAAATCATAAAATGAGTATACAAGCATGTGTATGTGTACATAGGCACATAGGTACTTATACTTTTAGTAAAGCATGTGCATAGCTTCATGCTTAAAACATGAATTTATAGGGAAACATCTTCTGTTGGCTAAATTAGCAATAAGTTAAGCAATGGAAAGTGAATAAGAGAGTATAGAAGAAGAGAAAATGATCATCAAATTTGGGGCACAAAGACCCGTGTATGTAATAGATACTGGGCATGAAATAATTAGAACTTTACAGAAAAGACTGGGAAGTCATTGCAAAAGAGGTGTCTGGTACAAGACAGTAAAAACGGGTGTGCTTTTTTGTCTTATAAGGTAGTTCCATAGTTAGACATTCCTCACCACTGTGCTCCATTAAATGAGTCTGATGATAATGCAGGTAACTCATGGGGCTTAGATCACTCCTATGGAGTTCGTTATGAAATATTCGAGCTGCTCTCTGATTCCAGATGGTCAACTGCTTCCAGAGAAGAAACTTCTTACTACTCGAATATGAAGACCTTCTTTGTTGTCTAGTTGGGTACTTGTTATGGAGGATGAAGAAATGAGGTGTGAAGGGAAGGTTTTCAGGGCTGGATGAGTTATTTTCTTTTCTTTGTAAAGTCACATATTAGAATACCATCTCTGTGTGTTATTTTCTGCTTTTGTTGCAGAATGTTTAATAGAAATATCTGTGGGCACATAAATATATCAATTTAAACAACACTGTAATGGGACTTGAGTTGAAAATATTTGCACTTAATTTTAGTTTACTTTTAATTCTTAAAGAAAATTTATGAGAACATGTAGACATTCTGGGAAAGATTGCTTGGATTTTAGTTCACCTTTGCCAAGGACAGTAATTATCTTATAAATAAAACACAGAGAATAGTTGAATAATTAGGAATAATGATGATCTCAAATGACACCAGGAGTTAATTTTTTTTGTTTGTTTTGTTTGTTTCTTGTTTTTTGATGCTGCTGTCTGTAGAAGTTATAAAAGGCTAGCATAGGCTAAAAAGGCGTATGATGTCCAGGATCAAGGTAGGGTGTAACTAATACAGGCTCAGGTACGAGGCTGCCATGCATTACTAATGAGAGACTCAGCCAAGAGGTTGCCTGCAATTTCTAAAGCATCAGATCTTGTATGTAGTTAGAAAGACGGGAATTCCTTTATGAATTACTTTTTTGCAAAGCTATATTTATAAGAATTTGACCACTCTACAAATACATAACCTTCTAAGATGCCATCATAGTAAAGAACAACAATTTGGTTACATTTTAGAGAGAAAGTCTACATTGAAATGAACATTGTGAGAAAACTCAATTTAATGATACCTTGGAGTATATTCTTGCTTCATATACTGCTGTTTTCATTGCAAGGTAAGAACTCATATAAAATTTTTACCTTATTTTATTGTATTTTAGTCTTTGTTGCAACTGATAGGAATAGTTTGTCCTTATACCATCAATCACTTACTTTGAAGTAATGACAGTGAACAGATCATTCTTTTGAAAATTCTTAATAATGTAGATAATTTGAGACTTCTGTGTTTTTGTCTTTTCTTTAAATGTTAAAACCATGCTTTTATTATGTTATGCAACTGTACTGAAAGAAGCTCTGACTCTAACATTTGTCTTCTGAAGAGTGATTTAAAATATTTGTCTCTGTAATTTAATCATTTAAAATTTTATAACTAAAGAGAAATTGAGTACTGAAACTTTCTTTATATCAGTATACAGAAGAATGGTAAACAGATGTTTTAAGAAAGACTTTAACATTTGGTGCTAAGAATTGATTTTCAGTTATTTTATAGCAATGTGATTTATAAATTCGTTTTTATAAAAATATTTTATGGGGAAAGCATTTATTTACCCCAAAAAATATTTGTTAATTTCTAATTCCTAAAAGAGCTGTATATTTTGGAGCTTGTAGGAGAAGACGGAGAAATTACTGAAGTATAAAAGACTAGTGAGGTCAAAGATGCTATTTTCTAATCCTAGTAATGACTGAAACTCTTCGAACAAAATGTCATAGAGAGTTGAGATGTGGAGTGGACTTTGGAGATGAGCGTGCCTAACATCATTATTTTGTGATATGTATGGCAGCATGCTGGAGTTTGCCATTTGCTAAGTGGTAGGGCTAAAGCTAAAATTTGGATCTCTGGACTCTAAGTCTCATGCTTGTCCTACTGTGTTATGTTTCTGTGTAAATCTAGGTGTACTGCTCTTTCTTTCTGGATTACCAGTCACTCTGATGTCTCACAGGGAATTTGCTGGTCAAAATCTTTCAGAAAATGCAAATACCTAATAGCTACACTCAGTCTGAGACTTAGAATTTAGTTTAAAATGATCTGTTTAGTAATTAGAACATGTGACCAAGAAA